TCTGGCTTCAATCGAGTTATTTTCAAGATGGTTCGGACCGGTACCCCAGGGTTGAATCGAAGTGCATCGTCCAGATCGAAAGCTGCGCACTGCGAACAGAGGTTGTTAGGCGGTTCGACCACCATCGGGCTTTGAGGAAGAGGAGATAATGTCATGGTCCGACAGGTCTTCTGGAATCGCAGTCTATCCGCATGAGCTGATCTTGATTTGATGTAAATCTGAGTGTGGAATTGCGCAGAGGTGGAAGTAGAACAACTGCGCCCCATGCCTGCAGGACGCCCGCAACATTCGGTAGCCAGTGATACGCAATTAGCTCAGCAGCGCGACATGGGGAAACTTGGATTCGATTTTGACTGCAGCATCGCTGTTAGCGTTGTGCATAACCCCAAAGTGAAGAAAAGCTTCTCCAAACGCGCTGATGGGATTCAGACGTCTCTTGTATCTCCGGCATGATGCGACCGCTTGAGGCAATGGTGAGGATGGTGGAGAGGCCGTTCCCGATGCTATTGTCGCCTTGAACATCAGGAGCGTCATCCGTGATCAACGCCAGATCGGAATTTGCCTGTTACGGGCAGACCTGCTGATGTAAGCGCGCACGTACCACTGCGTCATCGCGGTGCGCTCCCCTTGCGGACACCGAAAACGTCTACCTTTTGCATCGCGGTACCGTTATTGTTTATCGTGACCTGCTAACATTCATCGCATTCATATCGGATGCATTGGGACTAGAAGCAATTCGGCATCCGCGGTGTCGCACACTGACGACATCAATTGGACAACGATGAAGCAACCCCGCGCTTCTATCGCTCAAATCTCGGCCAGGTCTTCACCCAAGATCCATGATGGCGAGTTGGACTTATCGAGAATGCTTCATTCACCATGCCATTTTCCGTCATTAGAAATAGCAGGCAGCTCGAACCGTTGACCGATGTTAGTTCACACACCAAAGTTCGTCTACGAGATCCTTTGAAACACGACCTCTGAAGCTCCATTGTTTGGGCGCATTTGCTCCCGTTTTCGGCACTCATATTTTGTGCGGCAAGGAAATCATTCCTTTGTTGTAGTATGGGCCATTCGCTCCTCGTCAAAACAGCTTTCTGCGCAATGGAAGACGAACTACTCACGGATGTCGCACCTCTGACAAAAACTTTCATCTTTTGTATCGATTCAGCTCTTGTACCCAGCAAGCTAAATGGCGCCACCGTACGCGAGTTTTTATAACTATTTCAGATATGATGCCAACGAATTCATCCATCAGAACAGGAATTGGACGACTCGTGAGTAGATTTGCTAAGTACAGACAAAGATCACTTGCTTATAGTAGCCACTAGCGGAACGTCTTTGGACAATTTCGACTATATGGGCCGGGGATGGGAACGTCAAAAATTACTATGCTACTCAAACCCAGAATGCGAGTGGAAATTGGAAGGCGACCAGTCCTGGATTGCCAAACCCGAACCCAATACCAGTTAATCCATTCACGGCCGCAGATGTTAACCATGCAAAGACTACGCAAACTATGCCTGCATCTGCAACTGCTCCCGGAGCGAATGTCCTGCCTGTCGCCGCTGCTCCTGCATACGTCTCGTCTAACCTACATGACTTCTGGCCAAGGCTGCCATGGTCTGCACCGGACGAACCCGCTCCACCATTCCTTGACATGCAAGCGTTGAAAGACGATGTTGATTTCGTAAAGGAACATTGGCTCGACACTGAGCCGCGCATGCCTCCACCGAACGACAACTCTCGTTGGCATGGCATCAAGCTGTTAGGATCTGGTAGCTATGGCGCAGCCGGTTTGTGGGCTGAAGCCGATGCAGCAAACAATATTCGTGACGTATGTATCTAGTCACAGACACGATCAGTGCCCTTTCCTCAGCGATAAGCTAACATCAACACCAGAGAATGGTGATCAAAGAAGCCAAAGCCTTCACACCAAGCCGATGGCGCGATCCCAAGAACTGGCGGGACCGATTGCCACAAGAAATACGTATCCACCAGCTTCTCGAAGAACGTCGTGTCGTGGAACCAGCCATGTGTCGTCATATTATCCGTTGCCGCGCACACCGACTATGGATGGAACATAGAAGATACAGATTGTACCTAGATTACCATTCAGGTGGCGACATGAACGCGGCAATGACATTTCATGCTAGCAACTGGAAGGACGGGAAACCCGCCGACGAGGACATATTCGTACCAGAAGGTTTCGTCTGGTATACCATCAAAGCGCTCGCGACTGCTTGTCTGGTTTTGCGCGAAGGAACCATCGATGGCACTCCGGTTGATGGCTGGAGACCCATTACCCACTTGGATTTGCAGTTACCAAACGTACTTTTGGATGTTCACACTCCACCGACCCAGCAAGCTAAGGGGAAGTCAAAAGCGGGCTCCTTCAAGAGTGCTAGGCTCAACCGCGCCGACGCTGACGATTGGAGAACTAAAGAACCTCCTGTGATGCCTATACTTGCAGACTTTGGTATTTCCTTTTTTAGCCCGAATGATGATGACTGTCCAATTACCGACAATCCTGATGACTATATCATCCACGAAACTGATACGCGATATCCTCCTGTAAGCAGCTTTCTTTTTTCCGAAACGTCGCTTGCTACGATAGCTAATCGCTCCTAGGAAATGCACCAACAAGAGGAACCGTACTATCTCGAGTTGGGTGAAAGAACTGATGTTTGGGGCATCGGTCACATCGCATGGAGGCTCTTATGTAATAAGCAAGTTGATGTATTTGGTCCGATTCATTGCGACACAAAACCTTCGCGCAGCACGAAAAAAGATGACCAGCACAAAATCCCGTTAGCCCTTAGACATGAGCGCAACGTCCGTCCCAATGATGACAAAAGTGTACTCGCAGAGAAGAGCACTGCACAATATACAGCTGGGAAGTACGGGCGAGAAGTCAAAGAGTTGGTGCGGAGGTGCTTGAACTTCGATCATAATCGCAGACCAACTCTGAAAGAAATCCTTGCTGAGGTCGATCAATCCTTCTCGGAGGACGACGTTTTGATAGACCAGGTCAGGGACAAAGACGGCCTGCAACTCATTCTGCCAGATACACCCGAGTTCGCCATTGGACAGCCAGTCGATGCAGCTAAAAGAAGGGGACGTGAATGAGACTTAGTCTGGCCACTGCTGTAGAACAAATGCAATCACCACTCAATATTAGCGAGTGCCGCCTTTACTTCGCCCTCCCGATGTCTCTCGCTACTCTTGGACCAGCAAACCCCAATCGGCCTTGCCGTGAGGCCTCCTGTATCTGCGCCGCTGCCTAATGAAGTCACTAACTGGGAAGTTCTTATTGATGATCGTGAGGACGGTACGATCTCTGTCCATTGATGCCAAACTCGGCTGTCATCCCATCATCTTAGTTGGCTGGCTGGCTTGTACATTGTCTTGTCTATCTTGTTGGACAGCTCCTCCACCGGTAAATTTGCTTCACTATGCAAGACAAGGTGATCACAGAGCTGTTGTCGACAAGCCGCCTCGTATTGACCGTCCAATGAAAGACTGAAGATAGGGCTCGTGTGTTGCGGAATGCAAGGGCTCACTGAAGCTGGGTACGTGATACGATACGGTTTACAGCACGCCATCAGATCTACTTGAAGCTTGAATGTTTTCAGACAGGAAGAAACGTCATCTCGATATCACCACACCATCTCTTCATGTCGCTCAACGCCAATGTCTCGGAAAGAAAGGCACGATCCTCGGCGCTTAAAGCTTGATTCAGGTAGAAAGATTCACTGCGGGCCTATCCGGCGTGGCATCCACGACGTCAGAAAGGTAAGAGCTACTACCCATTGAACGATTCAAGCGTAAGGCCAGCAAGAAGGTCTAAGACACAGATTATCCATGGAGAAATTGCTTCCGTCCACTGTACCCATCGCACTGCGGGGGGAACTGGGGTAATCATACTAAGCCGGCGGGTGGATACGAGGTATACTCTCATCGAAGGAGCGATATTCGCGCTTCGATGAGACATAAAGTGGAACTGTCAACCCAAGGCGTGCCTGATCGTCGTGTGTAGTGGTTGTGTTCAGAATCCTATGGGGCTTACGGGACGCCTTACCCGCCCCCAGATTTCGATCCGTTGCTTAGCCGTTGTTCCCGGGCTGGCATGCTCGATTTGGATATAGATGCTCGCTCGATGTTCGAGGGAAGATGTTTGGTAAAGCAGGGGAAAAGTGTATATAAAGTCGTCGTTTGTCGGCTTGGAAGTATTCTTCATCAGCTCGACTCGACTCTACTCTTCAACTCCAATATCCAAACCAAGAAATCACTTTTCCCACACACTACCAATCATCCACTTAGCCATCACCATGCGTTTCGCTGCCGTCATTGCCGCCCTCGCCATCACGGCTACCGCTCTTCCTGCAACCTCTTTGGAGCAGACTGGAGCAGCTCTCGGTATGCTCTTTTCACCTAAACTACCACGTCCGCAGAAGCTCTTGCTAACCACTCTTTTCCAAATCAGATGCTCAGGCTGATGCTTGCGCCGACCTCGATGCATACCAGACCTGTACTGGAGCCTGCAGTGGGCTCGCCCCGGGCTTTGCCTGCGCTATCAATTGTCTCATCGCCTACTGCGCTTAAACTGTTACCCTTGGCGCTTGGAATTGGACTCAGGGGGCAAGCAAGGGGAAAGACCCTGGCTTCGTTTTTGGATGGGGGTAATCTTGGCCGTACCCATACTTGTACCTAGTGTCTGTAGACTGGCCAGCCGTTCGTTGCTCGCATACACAATGAGAATCTGTTAACGTCAACCATTCTCAAGCGAAGGTCCATAGCGTGATATTTCAAAAGAAAAAGTAGATTGTGTATAGATTGGTATCAAGTTGAGTACAGTCCCTTAACGCCAAAGTAGCAAACCCTCATGATCCAAAAGAACTCGCCGTACATGACGCTGAAATACCAAGATCAAGCCATTACACCATGCAATCCCGTCCCAACGTTATCATATCATATCATGTCGTATCGTATACAGTCTATCAGCGCCTTCCAAAGCCACCGGCCATCTGCTTCTGCACATATTTGGCGCCCTCTTTCTTGATGATAGGTAGGGCATAGTCCTTGAACATGCCCATAGCCTGCCTCTGCCACTCCGGCTGTCCAGGCTTTCCCGGCTTGCCGCCTCCGCCTCTACCACTCCTGCGGCGGTCGTCGTAGCGATCATCGTCGTCGTATCGACTGCGCCTATCGCGACCTCCATCGTCATAGCGAGAGTCGCGGCGCGGCTTGCTGTTGAACATGTCGTCGTATTTGTTATCGTAGCCGTCGTCGCGGCGTCTGCGATCGTCACGGGGCCTGTCACGGCGTTCGCGGTCATCGTAGTAGGGGTCCTTGTCTTTGCGGCGGCGGTCGGACTTGTAGCCTTCGGACTTGTAGCCGTCGCGGTCACGGCGCCCATCGTCTTTGGGCCTGCGAGGAGGATAGTGCTCGTCGTATGAGTCGTAGGTATCCTCGTGCCTGGGTCGGCGGGGGCGGTCGTCGCGGCGTTCCTCGCGATGCTTGCGTCGAGGTTGGGGTGGTGGGGATTCAGAGTCAGAGTCGGACGAGTAGGACGGTTGCCTGCGATGGCGACGTGGTCGGGCTCCACGAGGGTCGCGTTCTTCTGCTGCCTGGTTAGCTGGAGTTGCGAAGGGCGCTGACAGGATGGCATACCTCTGGGTGGTGGTGGCATAGATTCGGGTGGTGGAGGTGGCATGCCCTCCATTCCTGGCGGCGGAGGGGGAGGCGGCGGAGGATAACCTTCGTGGCCTGGTGGAGGCGGTGGAGGATAGGCGCCATGCGGGGGCGGTGGAGGGTTGTTGGGATATGGCGGCGGCGGCGCATCGTCGACAGGCCTCTCCTTGCGAGAGCGGCGGTGATCGCCTCTTCGGCTGTCGCGGTAGTCGCGGTAGTCTCTCTTGTCGTCTTTGCCAGGCGCCCATTTTGGCTTGCCGTTCTCGTAGCTGTCAAAGCGGTACGTGCCCGGATCTGCTTCCTTGTCAGCGCTGTGCCGATTCAATGCATGCCGGACTTCTTACGTGATGGCGGCGGGGGCGGCTGCTCCGGTGAGGAATGTCTGTCTCTATCGCGACGACCCATATTGCTTGCTTGTTGTAGCGGTCAGGGTGCAGGTAGTGGTGGAGTGTAGGTGTCCAGGTAGCGTGGTCTAATAGTCGGCGGCGAACATCTGACACTTAAAGCGCGGCTCTCGGCTAGGTCGCACCTCTCAGCCCAGTCTCACAAGACACCATGTCGTCATATGCCCTAATGCCTCAGCTCGTCGTGCACAAGTGCAAAATTTGCGGGGCTGCCGACGCATTCGAAGCTTCGCGACGGCGTGGCAGAGCTCAAGTGGGCTGTGTATGTAGGCTGTGATCATCGTGCATGGGCAGCACGTCTAGACGGGCCCACTTCTGCAAGCCATTGCCGTCCGCGATGCTCAACTGGCCAGGTTGTGCGCCTGAAGAGAAGGGCCGTTCCCCCGCAATGAAGCGTGGGATAAACTGAAGATCAGGGTCTTCCGGAGATTTCGACGATGGGGTATTGCTACGTGGTGTGCAAAGGGTGGTGCTGCCTTATGCTGATCTATCACACGCCCGTATAGACGTCAGGGGACGCTGCACTGCCCAGTCGCTACACCTGCTGACTGATCTCGTTACCTCAGTCTTCATATCCTGACCTTGTCCACGGTCACGGGAAGCGGTGAACTTCGATACCACATGCGGACTAGATCCCATGACTCAAGTCTTCGTCTACATCATACTCGGGCTTCAATCGTATCGCGACCGAATTTTGACTATTCGGCGACATCACAGTAGCTCACCAAGATCCAACGTCACCTCGTTCATCGAGCAGACTACGTCACACAAACGGCACGATGGTAAGAGCATGTCGATCAAACTATCACACTCATCTAGGCTTGATCTGAATTTCCACCAACGTCACCGTGGTTCAGAACATCTCGATAGCCTGAGGGGGCTGGGAACTAGACTGGACCTGCATAGAGTTGCAGTCTACACGATAAGCGTCTTAGCGGCCTCGCTCTTCAACGTACTACGTAGTAGACTAGATCTGATCAACCTCTGCTGCTGCTCTCTCTCTCTTGTCTCTGCTTCCTCTCTATGTGTAGGCTCAGAGCAAGCTCGACCAATATTAACTGAAGCCGTCCAGACGGTCACGAGGAGCTCCTGCGCAAGAGCCCTTCTGAAGCTGCAAGAATTGAACTCCAGTGGTCCTGTCAAGATGTTCCTGGACCTCGGTAAACTACGTGTACGCCGTCTTGGTTCGGACGCGAGCCCCGGAACTCTATCTAGCTAGCTTTGTTGAGATATCAGGTACCATATCGCAATAATTGCTACCTCTATTGTGAAACAAAGGTTACCTGTTCACCTGCTAGCGCAACTGCAAGCCAGCAGATTTCATGTACAGATTTTGATATTGGTTGATTTCTGGCTTGTTTTTGGTTTGACGGGTCACCAATGGTCGCACCTTATACAAGAGAAAAACTGAACACCCTAGAGGCTACATCAAGAAGAAATCCTGCAAATTAGGTGGCCTAACGTTGATGTAGGCTCCAGACCTGTCCAGGTTTTCCCTAGGTTGACGTGGTCGTGTACTGGACTTGGTCATCCCAAACGACTATATCCGCTCTCGATACACTGGAGGAGCTGAAAATCTACTGTCGGCTACCTCGCTGATAGTGGTGCCACCTCATACAAGAAAAAAACTGAACAGGTCTGCAGGCCACGTCAAGCTAAAACTTTGCAAAGTAGGTGACCCAACGTCAGTCAACGTAGGCTCCAGGCTGTTCAGTTTTTTCCTAGGTTGGCGTGGTGCTGGCCACGACCTTGAGGTGGGGCGTAATACCCGCGACCACGTGAGTTCGCGGAATCACCCCCTCGACTCTTGCCAGACGTGAACTGCCCGCGCCCGCGCGAAGGTGTAAAGTCTCCTCGACCATGACCAGGTACGAATTGGCCCCGTCCGCGAGAAGGTGCAAAGTCAGACTCTCGACCCTGACCGGGTGTGAAGTAGCCACGTCCGCGCGGAGCTGCAAAGTCTCCTCGGCCTTGAGCTGGCGCGAAATTCCCACGACCGCGAGGTCCGCTGTTGTAAGCACCCCTGCCCCTTCCACCACCCCTTCCTCGATTGCCATGAGTAGGGAGCGGCCAGAATGTTTCACGTGTCTCTCTGTCCACAGCCCAACTTCGTTCTTCCATCGTACGCAATACGATTGGCCCACCTTTCTCTTCCCTCACAAGAATCAAAGCTCGATTCGGCCGATTCTCTCGCTTCAGCACATCTCTCAGGCGTATAAGCAGAGCAGCGAGTTTCCTCAACGGTTCCTGCTGGTTCTGCTCCCATGTCTTCACCCTTACAGTTGCGACTTCCTCCTTGATCCTCGATACAACACCGGTACCTTTCTCGTAGGGAGCGGTGTAAAGCAACGATGTACGACCGAACCAGAGCTGATCTTGACATGCGACCAACCCTGATGCCAATGGGCTATAAGCCTGAGTTTTGAGCTCTAGTATCTGGGCTGTAGGTACGATATGGCCTTTTTGCAGGACCCGAATTGGCGCGTTGTAATTGAACCTTGGAGGGTTCACGTGTGAGCTTCCGCTCACCGCTGCTGCTTCGGTCTGTGTGAGATCGTCGGGAATGATGCCGTCGTCGTATGCGTCTGCTTCGAAGCGACAAACGACGTTGAGAGGGCCCATTGCATATCGTATGGCTCGATAGTGACTCGTCGCATCCTCCATGTCTTCAGTTTTCTTGGTGAAGGCTCGCTCGAAGTTGAACCCGTAACTATGCCCATCTGAACGTTTCCACCACCGTGACTCCCTGCGCACGATGACGAGTGTGTTGAAAACTAGATACAGATTGAGCCGGAGAGGTGCGTTGTTCTTGCCCTGAGCAAATTCCAACAACACACGGAGATTGTTGCGATCTGCGAGAACGTCGACGTTGTGGAAAGTGGTGTTTGGTGACATAACCCGGAGGGCATTGAACATCGGCAGGTACGGATTTTTCGGTTGGCGAGCGTAGTTGTAATCGTTGGAATCCCAGCCACTATCCCTTTCGACAGTGTGCGGCAGGCTTGGCGGTTGCCATTTTGCTGGCTCGCCGGGAACTAGATAGATGTGAGTCTGACAATACTCGACATTTCAACTGGCAAACGCCTGGCTGGAGGTCATGATATACTCACCAAATATCGTATTGGTACCGTCTTCCGCAGCCTGCCAGTTGTAGCAACACAACAGCTCCGGTTCCTCGTCCCATGTTACTGGCTCTGGTACCGGGATGAGTGCGGTCTTTTCGATTGTCTCTACAACATGTCCTGCATCTCTTGCAATAGTGCTGTTGAAGCGCGCCATTTTTTTCCTGCGTTTCTCAAGTACGACTGGATCGATCACTTCTTCTTCAGGAATTTCCAGAATGGCATCCCCACCGTCCGAATCAGAGTCAACGCCATCTTCGGCCGCAATGGTGGGCTCCACAGCACTGTCACCCTGCAGTTGCTGCCAACTCGAACCACCCAAGGCTAGGGCAATCTTCGATTCGAAAGAAATGGCTGCCGAGTTCATGTCCGGTGGTGCAGAAGCCGCCACAGGATTCGGCTCGAGTATGCGCTGCTTTGGTGGATTGGCCTGCGAGTCTCTTTCTGGCGTATCTGACTGATAGTCTTCTCTTTCACGTTTTCTTCCACTACTGTCGCTTGGACCAGTAGTTCGCTCTCCAAAAGCTTAGGAGGAACGATGAGCGGGAGGGTTAAATTTAGGCGTGTACACAAACGTACCGTACATGCCGGCTGTTTCGCAGCGTCTTCCCAGCTCTTGCGCTATGGATTGAATATGCCCACGTCCAAAGTAGTGTCAACTTCGAATGGAGTAAAGGCGCCTTCAAAAGTATTTGTGGAGAAGGGATGAGCGTATGCGCGCTATCCTAGGTTGGCAATCGGATAGGTTATGTAGGTTTGAGGAAGCTGGATAGTCATACACCAACTCTGTCTATCGGTTCAAATATGTCGAATCGAAGTCACTTAGCTAACGGGCCTATGGACGTTGTGGTGTGGGTAACAAGACGACAGATTGTAGGGAGCAGGGAGACGCGAAGGCCGGGGTGACGCGACTTGGAAGGCTTCGATGAGTGAAACTGGGTTAGCGCTTCGGCTAACAGCGTAGCGCGTGTGATCCTTCGATCGTCCAAAAGCACCTCCAGGGCTGGACAATTCAGAACGTCCTCAGTTTATAGATGCTCTCGATTATTGCACCTGCACTGTCATGTGTGTCCGCAAGGGATACTCAGTGAGTTCGAGGAACCTTTACTGTTGACCGCGAGACCCGATTAATGAATTCGTCAGAAAACCAGTAGATTGAACATAGCATCGTAGTATTTTCAGGACTCCAGCACGATGAAATCCAGTACTATAGCGCCGTTCATATCAACTTACAACTTCCATCCCCGCTTCTTCGAAAGCGCCGTCTCCTGCCTGACCGCCAAATCAGCAATGATTTCCTCACTGCCGCCACCCACAACCTAGCACACGTTAGCATCAGCATACTATCCTGGGCTTCACATTTCAAGGAATCAAACATACCATCATCCTCAGATCCCGACTAATCTGCTCAACAATAGCACCAGGACCACCCTTCTGATACCCAGCACCACCGAAGATCTGCTGCGCCTCGCGATTCGCCATCTCAAGTATACGACCACCGTGCACCTTGCACAGGGCAATTTGGCCCGCAATCTCCGGATCCTGCCAACCGAGCGGAGATTGCTGGATATGGTATGCGAGTTGTTCGAGCCATGCCCAGTGGCTCTCTACATACCGGCCAATAGTAGCGAGTTTATGCGCAATGATCTGGTTGGAGATGAGGGGCTTGCCGAATGTGTGTCGCTTATGTGCGTAGTGGAAAGATTCGCTCAGGCAGGTTCGCGCTTTCCTGTTACAGCCTATGCTCATGATGAAGCGTTCCTGCAGAGGTAGAGGTATGAAGTCAGCATATGTCTCACATGCACTTCGTACAGTCAGAACTTACCTTGTTGAAGTTGGTCATCACAATTCGGAAGCCTTCGTTCTCTTTGCCGACAAGATTGGATACAGGGACGCGGACATCGTCCATTTCCACGAAGCTTGCGCCTCCACCCTTTTGCCCTGAGTTGGGAATACGGCGGTGTGTGAGTCCGGAAGAGTCGGTGGGAATGACGAGGACGGAGATACCAGTGGCGCCAGGTCCTCCGGTGCGAACGGCAGTTGTCATGTGTGTGGCCCACGGCATGCCAGTGATCCATTTCTTGTAGCCATTGACAATATAGTGTTGCCCGTCTTCGGTCTTGGTTGCGGTAGTCTGGAGGTTCGCGACGTCGGACTACACACTCCAGTTAGCATTCTCTCAATAAGAAATGTAGACGTGTTGGGGAGACGGTATACGTACACCACCACCCGGCTCAGTGATGCCTAGACAGAAACTGGTCTCCCACGTAAACAAACCCGGCAACCACTTCTTCTTCTGCTCCTCGGTTCCGTGATGTACAATCGGCGGAGCACCAATCACGCTGCCACCGCCCAGAGCAACGCCAACACCGCCCTCGATCCTACTATTCTCATCCGTCATTATCAACAGATGGAATAAATCCAAGTCGCCGACCGGTATGCCCGCAGGTCCAGGAACATTGCGCGGGCGATACGGTTCTGGCACGTCTGCGAATGCGTAACCAGTCTGCGCCCATTTGTGCCGTTCCTGGGCTGGAGCCTCGCCAGCTTCCTCCCACTCTAGCATGTACGGCTTAATATTCGTGTCGATGTATGTGCGGAGGGCATTGCGCAGTTTCTTGTGCGACTCGTTGTAGTAGGGAGAGGCGAGGGCGGAGTACCACGACGGTTCGCTCCATGGGGCGAGGTTGCCAAAGGTTTCCTTCTTCTGAGGCTGCATTACGGAGGGAAGAGGTGTATCAGCGCGCGGCTTAGGGTTCGCCATTGTGTCTGCTTGGTGGTGTTGCAAGACATCTCCGTGGGTACGAAGAGCATACTTGGGTATTGGACTATTTGGTAGTGGAGTTGAGATGCCGCGGCTGAGAGACGACGATCATGCTGACTCGCGTGCTAAACTGCGGGGGTGCGTAGCCGATTCGCGCGTCCCCAACGCGTCCGCCCTGCCAATGTCTTCTTGGGTTTCACGCTCAAGCCTGAATCCTGTCGCAACTTGATACGGTTAGGACATACCGTGCAAAGTTTAGAGATCTTCTTCGTTATCAGACACAACATACTCTGAGGGATCAAAAATGAGTAACGAGATGTAGTCACGACAGCATGTGAAGAATGGCTTTGAAGTGAAACCTGCGAAGCTTTATTACTGTCTCGATGCTATTTACACGGACTCAAGTCTTCCGGCATAATGTCGTTCATTATTATATTCCTCCACTCGTATCAAGTCATCAAGACGATACGTTTACCTGACGCAGTAGCCACCGTCGATGAGGAGATCGGAACCCTGAGATTGTTAGTGAATTGAAGCGGTACAATCTAGATAGATGAACTTACAGTGCAGTAGGATGAGGCGTCAGAGGCGAAGTAGACGTAGGCACCCTTGAGCTCGGTGGCCTTAGCGTCACGGCCCATGGGGATCATGGAGTGCCACAGCTTCTGGATGTCCTGGGGAACGAAGTCGGAGAGACCAGTGTCAATGTATCCGGGGGAGATGGAGTTGACACGGGCAAAGTCCCTCCACTCGTTGGCAAGAGACTTGGCAAGGTGAATGCAGCCAGCCTTGGCGACGTTGTAGGAGGCCTGCTCCTGGGGGAAGTTGGCAATGTGGCCGGACATGGAGGAGGTGATGACGAGGGAGCCGGTCTTGCGCTCGCGGAAGTGGAGACCGACGGCACGGGCGCAGTTGAAGGTACCAGTCAAGTCGGTCTCGATGACCTCCTTCCACTGCTCAACGGTAGCGTCGAGGATACCGTTGTCGGCAGTCTTTCCGGCGTTGGCGATGAAGACATCGACCTTGCCGAAGTCCTTGATGACGTCGTTGACGAGCTTCTCGCAAGCGGAGTAGTCGTTGACCTGGCACTTGTAGGCCTTGACCTTGACGCCGTACTTCTCGCTCATCTCCTTTGCGTTCTTCTCGGCGCCCTCAGCGCGAGAGTTGTAGGTGATGGCGAGGTCGGCGCCGTACTCAGCGCATCCTCGGGCAGCCTCTGTGCCAATACCGGTAGGGCCGGAGGCACCAGTGACGATGACGACCTTGCCCTTGAGGCTGAAGAGGTCCTTGAGCTCGGTTGCTTGGGGAACGTTGATCATTGTGGCGGTTGAGAGGGTTTGTTGATAGAGTAGAAAGGTTTAGGGGTATATAGAAGAGGGATTGGGTTTGAGTGTGATGGAATAAGAAGATGGAGGCTGATCTGGAGGGGCACGGAGGGGTTCAAGTACTCCTCTGCGGCTGAAAAGACTTGATGGACAGCTTCACACATTAGCGGTTAGTGAGGGGCGCTGGGTCGACAGTGACGTGTGGCTCGTCCTAACAGCTTCTGGACGTCATGCCACCGAGCTTGATTCGCCAATGGCACCAAGATGTGGACAGTCTGGCTTCACTATTCCGCTGAGATCCTAGCGACCGACGGGGGTGGGTGGGTTGCTGTGACGTTCCTGCCCCTCTGTTAGCTTGCTCTACGGGAGCTTGGGCCGCCTCTTCGTGTGCTTCGGCGCGTGAACCCATCGCATTGCTTTTTCTCCCACGCGTTATCATCGATTTCTCCGATCCCGTGGCTGACTTTTCCAATGCTACAACCTAATGACTTTAGGTACGCTTGTCTCGTGGTCTTGCCTAGGTGCCGCCGAGCTGTTGCATGTTCCCAAAGTGGAACCCCACGATTGATACACGACATGCGCTGTCAGCGATTCATGCTTTGACAAAGACATTTGGCCGTGTCAACCCGCGCGTCTAAGCTGCTCGTGCAGTACGAAGCCGCCACGCTGCCACTCGAGCACCGTATGCCATGTCGAATGTAATGCACACCCACATGTGCTACTGTACTCCACCTTGGCTACTAGTAAGCAAGGCGCTGTGCATTGCTAACTGGGAGCCTGGCAGATACAGTAATCGTTACTCAGCTCTTTCTTCTTCATCGAGGCATCGGTCGTCTGCTCGATCCTGTTGGAAGACTCTGACGGACCCTGCATGTAGCTGCAGGCGAACATGGTAGCAGCTCCGAGAATCTCTGCGTACATCGACATGTAGCAAGCGGATCCGATCGGTCGTGGAAACCTTGGAACTGCCGGCCTAGAGCGTGAGTGATGTTGCACGGCCGAAGGAAAACCGCGCATCCATGGAAGCTCCACGCGTGCGGAAGCCGTCTCCCAACCATCTACGATCTCAACGCGCAGAATCAATGGGGCTTTATTGTCAATATACATGACGTTGCCGGTATCCGCCGCACGCTGACTTAGTTTGCCATGCTCCATCGGTCCCGCGCATGGCTGATGGGAATTTCATTTCTCCGATGCCGCAGACGCACGTGACACACCTCGTCGGCCAAACTTGGAGCCTCCCATTTCATCTCAATAGAAACCTACGATATCGTATCTGGCTCGGCGAGCGGTGCCTGATCCAATATCAATGTCGAAACCGCGAACGTGTAGTCTTGTAGCACCTTCTAGCTAGATTAGCCAAGCACCTGCCACCGGGTCTGATGCAGCCCTCTGATTCGCAGCGATTCGCAGCCATGGGGTTCACCATACTTTTGCTCATGCTTCGCCATTGCCCCTGAAGGTCGATAGCTAACACGCAACACTCGTCTGCATCGT